AGAAGAACTCCACAGTTAAGCGTGCTTGACTTGGAGCAATTCAGGGATGGGTGACCTCCTGGGAAGTTTTCCCGGGAAGTGTGCGAGTGAGGACAAAGCACGCTGAAAAGTCTCGTGTTAGTGTGTGGGGACAATCGTTGATCCTTGCATGTTGCCAGGTGTTACAGAAGCAAAGCTTTTAAACTTTAAGCCTTTCACTGGGCTGAGTTGATAATCATGAAGCCCTTCATTGGGCTTAGTTAAAGCTCAAGGTTGAGGCGGAGCTTTAATCTTGAAGCTCTTCATTGGGCCGAGTTGGAGCTCAAGGTCGATGCTGAGATATTAAACTTAAAGCCCTTAGTTGGGTTGAATTGAAGCTCTAGGCTAAGGCCGAGCTTTTAAACTTTAAGCCCTTCGTTGGGCTGAAATAAAGCTCAAGGCCGAGGCCAAGCTTTTAGACTTTAAGCCTTTAGTTGGACTGAGATGAAGCCCAAGGTTGAAGTCGAGCTTTTAATCTTGAATCCCTTCGTTAGGATGAGTTGAAGCTCAAGGATGAGGTCGAGCTGATAATCATAAAGCCCTTCACTGTGATGAGTTGAAGCTTAAGGATGAGGCTGAACTTTTAAACTTAAATCCCTTAGCTGAGATGAGCTCAAGGCTGAGGCCGAGCTAATACATTAAAGCCTTTAGTTGGGCTGAGATGAAGCTCAACGCTGAAGCTGAGCTTTTAAACTTGAATCCCTTCGTTGGGATGAGCTCAAGGCAGAGGCCGAGCTAATAAATTGAAGCCCTTAATTGGGCTGAGATGAAGCTCAAGGCTGAGGCCGAGCTCTTAAATTTGAAGCCCTTGGTGGCCTTTTTTATCTGAACCCGACATTTTATGCCGTGGTCTTTTAATTTGAGCCCCGCTTCTTTCGCGGAGGCTTTTTTAATCTGAACCCGGCTTTTTACGCCGTGGTCTTTTAATTTGAGCCACACTTCTTTTGCGGAGGCTTTTTTATCTGAACCCATCTTTTGACGCCGTGGTCTTTTAATTTGAGCCCTACTTCTTTCGCGGAGGCTTTTTTATCTGAACCCAGCTTTTTACGCCATGGTCTTTTAATTTGAGCCCTGCTTCTGTAGGGATGGCCTTTTATCTGAACCCGACTTTTTACGTTATGGTCTTTTAATTTGAGTCCTATTTCTTTCGCAAAGGATTTTTTATCTGAACCAGGCTTTGTACGTCGTGGTCTTTTAATTTGAGCCCCGCTTCTCTCGCAAAGGCTTTTTTATTTGAACCCAGCTTTTATGCCATGGTCTTTTAATTTGAGCCCCGCTTCTTTAGCGGTGACCTTTTTATCTGAACCCGGCTTTTTACGCCGTGGTCTTTTAATTTGAGCCTCGTTTCTTTTGCGGAGGCTTTTTTATGTAAACCTGGCTTTTATACCGTGGTCTTATAATTTGAGCCCCGCTTCTTTCTCGAAGGCTTTTTTATTTGAACCCGGTTTTTCACGCGGTGGTCTTATAATTTGAGCCCTGTTTCTTTCGGAGAGGCTTCTTTATATGAACCCAGATTTTTATGCGGTGGTCTTATGATTTGAGCTCCGTTTCTTTCGTGGAGGCTTCTTTATCTGAACTCGGTTTTTTACGCGGTGGTCTTATAATTTGAGCCCTGTTTCTTTCGCGGAGGCTTCTTTATTTGAACCCGGCTTTTTACACCATGGATCTTTAATTTGAGCCCCGCTTCTTTCCCGGGGGATTTTTTTATCTGTCTCCGGCTTTCTACGTCGTGGTCTTTTAATTTGAGCCCCGCTTTTTTCGCGGAGGCTTTTTTATCTGAACCCGACTTTTTATGCCGTTGTCTTTTAATTTGAGCCCCGTTTCTTTCGCGGAGGCTTTTTTATTTGAACTTGGCTTCTTACGCCGTGGTTTTCTTATTTTGAACCTCGTTTCATTTGCAGTGGATTTTTAATTTGAGGTCGACCTGTTAAATTTGAAGTCCTTGGCTGGGCTGAGCTCAAGGCTGAGGCCGAGCTAATAAACTCGAAGCCTTTTACTGGGTTGAGCTCAAGGCTAAGGCCGAGCTAATAAAAATGAAGCCCCCTTAGCTGGGCTAAGTTGAAGCTCAAGGCTGATGCCAAACTTTTAAACTTGAAGCCTTTCGCTGGGCTGAGCTCAAGGCCGAGGCCAAGCTAATAAATTTGAAGCCCTTAGTTGGGTTGAGTTAAAGCTCACGGCTGATGCCGAGCTTTTAAACTCGAAGCCCTTGGCTGGGCTGAGTTGAAGCTCGTGGTTGAGGCTGAGCTATTAAACTTAAAGCCCATAGTTGGGCCGAGTTGAAGCTTTAGGCTAAGGCCGAGCTTTTAAACTGTAAGCCCTTCATTGGACTGAGATGGTGCTCAAGGCCGAAGCCGAGCTTTTAAATTTTAAGCCCTCTTTTGGATCAAAGTTGAGTTATTAATGGTTTGCCAGTTCCCTAGTCCACAAAATTTTGGATGATACTTCCTTTAATAAAGAATTCAAAATTCTCATGTACCTTTTTTCTTATGATTTAATGACCTGCAGGTCTTCACTTGTTCTATCAAGAATTGCAATGACGTGAATCTCTGTCAAATCATCACTTGCTTGGATCTGGAGCTCCATTCTAGAGTCTCTCGGAGGATTAAAAGCCCTTTTAGCGATAGGGTTTGTCTCTTCATATGGTTTCAGCAATTTCAGGGTCGCGACGCAGCTTGCAATTTGTGGCTTCGTGTTATGCCATGCATGTTTACCATGGATGGGAGTCAAAATTTGACGTTTCCCACATACGACGCCAATGTTCGGTTCTATTGAACTGTATAAGGATACTTCAAGGGTATGCGCTCAGAGATATTTTGATTGACTTATAGTCAATACTCCAATCAGTGCGCACAAGCAATAGGTTTATAGTCAAGACGTGGGTGTGTGCACAGTGTTGGCAGTAATAGTAAATAAGTCAAAAGTGTCTACATGTGGTCTTTAGCCTCTTATTTATAAGGATTACTTTCATAGGCTTATGCTTTTGAGATCTCTCAGTTGATATGAAATCTGTCTTGATTGATGGTGATATGATCTTATCCCTTAATCCTCTTTAGATTATATAGTTGCGACATCCCTATCCAATGTTGCTAGTAATAAGGTTGTTAAAATATGAATCCAGTCCATAACAAAATCAAAAACTGGTTTAAAATCAAAGCTAATTATGAACTATAAATTAATTATCAAGTTCAAAATTAATTTTATAATTAATTCAAAATCGATTTTTGATTAGTTGTACTATTTTTTAAAATGAAATAAAATATACCTTTATTATTGTTTTTTTGGATGGATGATATACCTTTATTTTTATTTTAAATACAAACTAACTTCAAATTATGATTGAAACTCGGAATCCGAAAATATTACTGTCAAAGTACAAGGGATTTTTTGGGTGTGGAAATCGAAATCTTAGTTTTCAACGCTATATCCAAATCAGCAAATAACGCAATTCAGATAACAAATAAAATTAAAAGAAAAAAAATTGGTTACAGATTTTTCACATAAAAGCTTTAGCCCATAGGAGGAGAGAGAGTTTCAAGCCACCTCTTGATGCTATCAAAGGTGCTCTTTCTACTGATATCATAAACAACAAGCAACACTGATCAAGAATAAGTGCATGCAAAAGGGGAAAGGGAAATGATGATAAGTAAAAGATTTTTATTATATTACTTAAGAAAGAATTTATTTTCTACACACATAAATTTAATATAGATCTCACTTTTTTTTTTCTTTGAAAGTGAACCTCACCTGCATAAATAAGTTTGTAAGAGATAATAATTATCTCTTATTACATAAAAAAACTATTACCCTAATAAAATAATATTTGAGGTTGTGATATTTTCGTTAATTTAAACATACAAAAAAATAAAATAATTATAATCTATATTTTACGTAATGTAAAATGTCAATTTTTGAAGGTTTGACAGGCTAAGTCAAACTTTATATTTTTTGAAAATAAACCGAGTCAAACTTATAATTTGACTTATATTAAACTAACAAATCAAATTATGTTTGAAATATTTTACATGGGTCTATTTCATTTAAATTAAAGTCTAGTTTGGCCTCATTCATTTACATCATTACGCATTACTGTTAAAATGTTATATTAGTGTTATAAAAAAAAAATGTTATATTAGTTACATAAATAATAACAATAAAACTAATAATAATTGTCTTTTATATATTTCAATTTATCCATCATATAATCATGAAGTAAATCCATATCCTTGAATAAATCAGCACGACTCATTTTTCCACTTTTATTGCATTAAAAAACAAAACATTTTCATGTACCAAAAAAAAAAAACAACACATTTTAGGCAAAAGATAAGACTATAGAGAGAGTGTGTGTGTGTATACACCATTTGTCCACGTCGTCTGTACATTTTGCCACTTATATCCTATGTGTCCAAATTCTCCACTCACCGACCTTTTTCCTATCCTATAACCCAAGCCTGTTCATTTTTTAGAGCGCCGACAGAAAGTTAGAGACCATAAAAATAACATAAAAGCACTTCTTTTTAATCCCAAAAAAAAAACGTCAAATAAATTGTTATACATCGGAAAATACTATATATAATAATCATTAAATTTCATTAAGATAATTAGGACAAAATATTAGAATTTGTATTCAGAAAATTTTGCAATTACTAAAAGGCTAATTCCATTTTGTGTCAAAACTTCAACAGTCCACAACAACGACGCAATCCTAAATAATAGTTTACTTTTTAATTTTTTTATAAATCACATGTACCATTAAGGGAGGTAATCATGTTTAAATAGTAGGACTAGCTCTTCTAATTTTATTTTTTTTACATTCATAAAAACTTAAATATTCTAAAAACTCTTTTATTACAGTGTACTTTTTTTATTAAATTTCCAAAATTTTCACTTTTATTCTCATTCTTTATAATCATAAGAATAGAAGCTTCACATCACTACAATTGCACTTACTCACTTCCACACTTTCTTTCCACTTTCTTCCAATGGGCAGTGGCTCAGCTTCACTCTTATGCTTCCTCTTCGTTCTAACTTTCGCGATACATGCACGTGCTGAGCTCCCCGGCACGTGGGAGCTTCTGGTCGCCGACGCCGGTATCTCCTCCATGCACACGGCGGTCACACGCTTCAACACGGTGGTCCTCCTGGACCGGACTAACATCGGTCCATCGAGAAAACTCCTCCCTAAAGGCCATTGCCGGTTCGACCGGAACGACGCTGCTTTAAAGCGCGATTGTTACGCTCATTCGGTTCAGTTCGACCCAAAAACAAACCAACTCCGTTCATTAAAAATCCTCACTGACACGTGGTGCTCTTCGGGTCAGTTCCTCCCAAACGGAACACTCTTACAAACCGGTGGTGACCTCGACGGGTTCAAAAAGATCCGAAAGTTCGACCCGTGCGACGCAAACGGGTCATGCGATTGGGAGGAGCTAAACGACTTCGAATTGAACGAAGGTCGATGGTACGCGACGAACCAGATCTTACCGGACGGTTCGGTAATCATCGTCGGAGGAAGAGGTTCCAACACGGTGGAGTTTTACCCGCCGAGGCAAAACGGCTTCGTTTCGTTCCCGTTCCTCGCTGAAACAGAGGACACTCAAATGGATAACTTGTACCCTTACGTGCACCTTCTCCCCAACGGTCACCTCTTCGTGTTCGCGAACACGAAGGCGGTGATGTACGACGTCGCCGGCAACCGCATCGTGAGAGAGTATCCGAATTTAGACGGTGGCCCCAGGAATTACCCGTCGGCGGGGTCATCGGCGATGCTGGCGCTTGAAGGAGATTACTCCGGCGCGGAGGTTGTTGTCTGCGGCGGAGCTCAGTTCGGTGCGTTTCTTGAACGGAACACGGACACGCCGGCGCATGGAAGTTGCGGTCGGATCTTGGCGACTGGACCCGATCCGGTTTGGCAGATGGAGGATATGCCGTATGGGAGAATCATGGGCGATATGGTGATGCTTCCAAACGGCGACGTTTTGATTATAAACGGTGCAATGTCAGGGACTCAAGGTTTTGAATTGGCTTCAAACCCGTGCTTGAACCCGGTTCTCTACCGACCCGATCAACCCGTGGGTTTACGGTTCATGGTTTTGAACCCGGGCACGGTACCTAGATTGTATCATTCCACTGCGAATTTGTTACCTGACGGAAGGGTTTTACTTGCGGGGAGCAACCCGCACGTGTTTTACCGGTTCGACGCTGAGTTTCCGACCGAGTTGCGGATCGAAGCGTTTTCGCCTGAGTATTTGGCTCTGGATCGGGCGAATCTCCGACCCGATATTGAGGAAATACCCGAAACGGTGCGTTTTGGTGGGAAATTTGATGTGATGGTGTCTGTTACGTTGCCTGTGGTGGGAATCGTGGAAGTGAATTTGGCTAGTGCGCCTTTTGCCACGCATTCGTTCTCGCAGGGTCAACGTCTGGTCAAACTAGCCGTTACCTCCGCCATACCGGACGGCGAAGGAAGGTACCGGATTGGATGTACGGCGCCGCCGAATGGGATGGTGGCGCCGCCGGGTTATTACATGGCATTCGCGGTTAACCAGGGGGTGCCAAGCGTTGCCCGTTGGATACACGTCTCGTAGCTTTGGAATTTCTTCTTTTGGTTTGTTTTTAAAATTTGGAATTGTATTGATTTTCTTTTTATTTATTTTTTTGGGATTAAAATTTTAGATTCTGCAATTGTTAATAGGAAATACGATGGGCGATTGTCGATGCTGAATTATTAATGGGTTGTTTAATGGGTTCAGCAGCGAATGATTGATATAATGGAATATATTATATAGCAAATGATCTATAATTTTGTGGATTTGTCTGTGGTTATTCTTCGGAATCTTTAGCGAATAACAATTATTTAACTAGATCAAGCAATTTTAACAAGTGTCTAAGTAAAATACAAAAAAAATTAAAATAAACAAAAGTACCTAGACACTCGAAATGCATAACAGCCTAAGGCTCTCGTCATTGTGTCTTCAGTTTTCACTCAATTATCTATATCATACATTGCACTAAAGCCTTAGGCATGCATTTCTTTTAGACAAAAACTAATGGTAGGCCATAATTGGCAAAAAAAAATTTAATTTATTGTTTTTTTAATAAAAAAATTATGCAAATGTAGTCGTTTTAAAATTATTTACGAAAATATAGCAGTCAAACACGCACCACATGGGCGTGAACGGTTGGAGAGAGACACTTTCCATTTAGGCGTGACCCAGGAGAGAGACACTCTCCATTGGAGCGTGTTTCACCAGGTGCTGCCACGTGACACAAAAATCAACAGTTTGACCGTAAAACTTTGGAAGTCCATAACTTTTGACGCGGGTGTCCGAATTATGTAATTTTTTTGGTTCCACATAACTTTTCGAGATTTACGTAATGACAACTCATTTGACATATTTTGTCTGTCACAAAAAAATATGAATTTATAACAATGATACCATAAGAACGTTTAAAACCAAATTAATAAAGAGAAAACCACTTTTTAATTAGGAGAAAGGAGAAGGTTAAAACCCAAATTAATAAAGAGGTAGTAACTATAACCTTCTCCTATTTTTTAAACGTTCTTATTAATTTGGGTTTAAACGTTCTTATGGTATCATTGTTCTAAATTCAAATTTTTTTTGTGACAGACAAAATATGCCAAATGAAATGTCATTACGTAGATCTTGAAAAGTTACGTAGATCTTGGTTTATACCACCATGCATCTCTGAAAGCATCTGAGCTTTCTCATATCAACGTATTTTACTCTTTAAATGATACAGATCTAAGCTCTCTCATACTAACAATTCATAGTGAATGGTGGAATTATCATAGTATAAGAAATAAATTATGAAGATTTTAAAATTTATTGTGTCAATTTTAAAAAATAAAATAAAATAAAATAAAATCAAAGTCAAAAGAGTTTTAGTGTAGCTCAATTTTGTAGATTCAACCCTGGTCAAAACTATAGTCATATTTTATTATTTTGCATCTTGTAACCTACAAAATTGAGTTGACCCGATTGGGGGCATTCTTCTCAAGTTATGTAAACTCACAATCAATCCACAATTAATTTATTCGTTCCAAAGTTTTACGGTCAAACTGTCGACTCTTGTGACACGTGGCAACACCTGGTGAAACACATCCCAAAGGGGAGTGTCTCTCTCCTAGGTCACGCCCAAATGGGGAGTCTCTCTTCAAACCACTCACGCCCCTATTGGGCGTGTCTCTCTCCTGATCACGCCTCATGCGGGCGTGTCTCTCGTATGACTCACGTCCCATATGAGCGTGTCTCTCTCCATTGGAACACGCGCCATGTGGGCGTATTTGAGTGCTATATTTGCGTAAATAATTTCAAAACGACTCCATTTTCGTAATTTTTTATTAAAAAAACAATAAATCCATTTTTTGCCATGTAAGAAAGGTAAGTATAATTTCCTATCCCATATAATTATTTCAATCCAAAAATTTAAGTATAGGCATATCTTATAATATTTATTATTTATTAATAGAATGCGACTATTTGGTCGAAAAAACTCTAATAGGGGTGTAAATTAGTCAAGTCAAGTTAGGCTTTGGCCTAAATATGTTAGGTCTATATAAAATATTTAAAACTTAACTTGACTTATTAGCCTCATACAAGTCAAATTATAGACTTGACCTGACATATTTTTACAAATATACAATTCCACCTGGCTTATCAAGCTCGCCAAATCTTTAAAAAAGGCACATTGCATCATGTAAAATATATGTTATACTTATTTTATTTCTTTGGCTTTGTTTTTTCTTCAGTAAATAGAGATAAGTTATCTGTATTGAGTCCAAAATGACGTCGTTTTGGGACGGAAATCAAGGTGTTTTTGTAATTTTAATTTATTTCAGGATTATAATAGTCTTTATAATTATAATTTTTAATATTTTAACATCAAAACGACATCGTTTTGGAAGTAAATGCAGATAACTTATCTGCAGTAACTGCAGAAACATTTTTCTGTATTTCTTTTGTATGTTTAAGTTAATGGAAAGTCAAAATAATAGAATAGCTAAAACTACATTGTAATCCAAAATATTAATGATTTAACTATGTTGTTGGAAATAAAAAATAAAATAATGACAAGAATGCATAATTACATTTCAAAAAAAAGAAAGAAATATATTCACCCACTCAAGTATTATATAATTCCACTCTGCAAAAAGGAAAATTGCAATGATCACAAAACCAAAAGATAAAAACAATAAATTGTTGATTATAAAAAAAAAAAAAAACAATAAATTGTTCAACAATATCACTCTGCAAGTTTTGTTCAATTAAGGCATCATCATATGAACAACTTGATAGCGAAATTTGGCGGGGAAAGGAAGAACAGTGGTAACTTGGCTGAGAAAATATATATTTATTAAGTAAGAAGAGGAAAAATTGTTGCGAATTGAAAAAAGTTGAAAAATCATACGTTATTATTTTATTAAAAATAACAAGATATTATTTTGTCAAAAAATAACAAAAAAATATTTATTAAAAAATATTGGTCGGTCTTAGAGGCTAAGTTAGAGGTTAGGCCTTCTAAAATAAGTTTGTGACCTGATTTCTTAAAAAAACTTTTACTAAGCTCAAGTCTGTACTATTTATAAAATGGTCAAGCCAAAGGTTATACCCTTGACAAGTCATCTGATTCATTTATATCCCTAGACTCTGTTGTTATATAAAAGAATATTTTCAACCCAAAAATTTAATCTATTAGGTAAATGCCATATTAATATTTTTATATTATATTTATCTAACAATAAATAAATATATATATATATATGTGTGTCCTTTAATTTTTTGTTTGAAATAGTTTAAACGACATCATTTATAATGTTTAAGATACAGATGACGAAAATGGATCCTCTCATGTGAAAAAAATATATGACATGGTCATGTGAAAAGACTACAACCATACAAAGGTGAATCAACAATTATGATTTTGTAATTATCTATTTCAATATTTTTTTTTCTTTTTTTTATCACCATTGATTCACCTTTGTATAATTATGATTTCTTACGTAACCATATCATTTTTTTAATACTTTTTATTTGAGCTTTGTGTCTCTCCTTTAATAGGAGAGACTTTCTATTTTATGTTGAGACATCAAAGCAATGATATTTACCAAATTATTTTTAAAAAATAAAATGATGACACACATTTTAATGAATCAATAAAAAAAAATTTATTTCCAAGAACTTGAGAAATATGTTTAAGGGTTTTATAAGAGTTATGTTGTAAGAAAAGTGATTGTGTAATGTTATAGAGATTCGTTTTGCGTGCCTTAATTTTTTATTTATTTTTTTGTTTTAAAAAGTGTGGGCCCCACAAAATGTTGTGAGTATAGAAAAGTTTGTTGTGTTATGTTAAAGGATAAAACGAAAACCCTAAGTTTAAACCATCAATGGGCCGGAGATAGTAAGATGGGAATGGTTGCATATTGCATAAAGGTGCCACCGTGCAGTCACCGTTGACTCGAGTTTTGACTATTTGACTCCTGTAATTGCCCAATTATGATCGTTAATTTATGAATAAAAAATTAAAATTTTCTATATAATATGATAATGTGAAAACAAAACATGAAAAGATTGGCATTATCGGCATCCCACACCGTCTAGCGACTAGCATCATGGCTAGACTGTAGAGTCCATACTGTTTTATATGTTTGTTTGAATCTTTTTATTTTTAAGCTAGAAGCTACTTATAAACTAAAGCTAAAAAAAGAGCTTAAAAAAAAAAACTAAATATAATGGAAGTCATTTTATATTCAACTTTACCTCATTAAATATAATAAATATGAAATACAAGTACAGAACAATGTGAGTGCAATATTATAAATAAGATGTCTTGCATTTATATAGGTTTCGGAAATCATGTTGAAGTGGGCTATACATAGCCGAAAGCCACCAAAGAGTGGCTGAAACTCATTATTTAGTAGCAAAAAGCCACCATAGAGTGTCTGAAACTCATTATGTAGACAGAGTAAATTTAAAACATAAAAAAGATCATAAAATATCGAAACAAAAAGTATTGATCCTAGTTGGTTAGCTTGAGGTCTTTTCAAATGCACGTCACTTATTTCTCAAGTGATGGAAGAGCATCAACCTGTGGGGTGTAATCTGTTTTAATTTTTTGTCCTTAAATATGCAATAAATAAATGAAAATAAAAATGAAGAATAGGAGGAACATTATTTGTAAAGACAAGAAAATATGTTGAATTTAAGGTTAACAACGCATTACTTGATATAGATCTATGCTCACTAAATTATTGGGGAGAATAATGTTACTAAAATCAGATCGGATTGACCTATCTGACCGGTTGAATCGAGAACCGAAGCATCAACTGGTCCGATTCGGTAAATTGATCGACCCAATATTCAGCCCAGTTAAGAAGTGTCGAGCCGACCCTAAACCGTGTTCACCGGTACCGGTTCTTGAAATGTCTTGCGAAATATATGAGATGATAACCACTGTACCACAATACTTTGGTTGTTATATGACTTCTATTTTTATATTTATCTTCACATATACTTAGTTTAATTGGTTCAACCCGAGAACACTAGTTGGCCAATGATCCATTAACC